ACCTGGACATCCATGGAGACTGTTAACACTGCGTTCCCCCATAGCATGCACTGAGTTGGCACAGAGGCAGCAGCAAAGGCCTTGTTCATTAGGAGCAGCTGAGAATGCAGCAGGGCAAACCTCCGCAGTCTCCTAGCTTAACATGCTAACCTCTGTATCTCCATGGGCACTTACTCCTGTGAAAGGCACAGAATCATTCCCGCCAGCTGCTCATCTGTGGTTTTTAGGTAGGGAGGACAATGTACACTCAAGAGGCCAGCTGAAGTTCTCTACAGGGTCCAGCATATTGCACAGTGTGTTAAGCTGCTATCCGCAGTGCCAGTGCTGCAGCTCAGTGATGGCTCGAAGCTTGGTCACTCTGTTTTTGATCCAGCTCCCTGCTAATGTGATTGGGGAAGAGCAGAGGATGGGCAAGTTCCTGGGCCCTTGTCACACATGTGGGAGATCTGAGTCCTGGCTTCAGCCTGGCCTGTCTTTGGGCATTCAAGCCATTTGGCAAGTGAATCTCCCTCCATCTCCCCCTCTGACTGTGCCTTCCAAATATAATTTTTTTAAAAGATTTATTTTATTTTTATTGGAAAGGCGGATATATAGAGAGGAGAAACAGAGAGGAAGATCTTCCGTCTGATGATTCACTCCCCAAGTGAGCGCAATGGCCGATGCTATGCCGATCCGAAGCCAGGAGCCTCTTCCGGGTCTCCCACACGGGTGCAGGGTCCCAAAGCTTTGGGCCATCCTCAACTGCTTTCCCGGGCCACAGGCAAGGAGCTGGATGGGAAGCGGGGCCGTAGGGATTAGAACCGGTGCCCATATGGGATCCTGGGCGTGCAAGGCGAGGACTATAACCAAGGACTGTAATTTTTATTTGGGGGCGCTGGGCCCCCAAATAAAAATTTTAAAAGTGACCACCAGGGGTGGGTTTCAGGATGGGGTGTCTCATGCCTGGATCCCGGACAGCCACCATGTGCACATGGTGAGCTGTTCCCCGGGCCTGCTGGGTTCCGGGGGCTGCTTCCTTCGGGGTGAGTAGTCCGAGGGGGGTTCTCCGGGACTGGGCAGGTCCAAGACCCACCTGCTGCCTTCATTGGGTGGTGAATGGGATTTGGGAGGGACGTGACCTTGGGCCTGGGAATTTAAACCTCCAGCAGCCTCCTGGCAGCTGGTGGGTCTCAGGATGGGGCGTCTCATGCCTGGATCTCGGACAGTCACCATGTGCACGTGGTGAGCAGTTCCCCGGGTGGCCAGTGCACCATTTTGTGCCAGGCTCCGCATGCTGGCCGCCTGGCCGGGGAGCTCTGGGGATTTGGTTCTTTGAGTCGCTGCTTAATTAGCTCCAGGTAGAACCCATTGTGTTTCTTGGACCTGTACAGGCTGTAACTCTTCCTTTGTAAAACTTGTAATCACTAACAATGCTGAGCACCAAATACCAGTCCATGCAGAAGCTATGGCTTGGGGCTTGTCCTGCAAAAGTAGCTCCAACAGCTGGCTAATGTGTCAACTGGTAATGGAACAGAGTAGATCAGGCACGACTGGGCAAACCTTAGCCCACAAGTAAAACTAGAAACCAGGAGGGAGCAGAGGTCATGCCGAGCTAGGCTCTTGCACCTACTGGTCTGCGGGAGCCAGGGACGCTAAGCCACAGTGTCTAAGGCAGAGTTCGGGACAGGGGAGGGGCTGTGCCAAGCTGAGTCAGAGCATCCACTGGCAGGCAAGTGATCTATGGCTGGGAACAGACCCGGTTGGGGAGCAAAGGGGACAACCCTAGCTGGGCTGAGGTTCCCACCAAGAGGCGCATGGCCTGGAAGAGGGGCTGTGTTCTGATCTGGAAACAGTTGTAGTCTCCCTTGGCACAAGTGTGGACTGGGATTGGATGCAACGAACTGGGCCGGACCCCAACACCCCCTGGTGTCCTGGAGGACCAGGAAAGATGTGGAATGGATTAGGCAAGGTCTCAAACCCCTACTGAGCCATGTGTGAGCCATATGTGGGTATGGACAAACCATGGCTGGGCTGGAACATCCAACAGTAAGAACCAGATTGGGTGGAAGGCCAGTCAGGAAAAGCCACAGTTCCTGCTATGGCAGGAAGTGGACTGAGTAGGGTTGGCTCATGGACCCACTGGTAAGCATGAAACCTGGCATTGGGAGAGGTTCTGATGGAGGAGCCTAGGCAACTCCTCTGGCAGGACACAGACCCGGCAGGTAAGCGCAAGAAACATGATAGGAAACAGCCCAGAAAAGGCCATGGAAAGCTACACACTGGCATACAATTGGCAGACGTGGGGGCAAGACCAGGCTGAATCTGTCCACGTCATCCACTGGCAAATCCAGGCACCAGTGTGGGTCGACCCAGGTTCGGTCGCAACAAAGACTAGTGCACAATATGGAATGCCGAGGTGAGGTTGCCCGTACCGGAAGGGACCACAGCGCCCAACCAGCCTGAGAACAAGAAAGGAGGTGGGCAGAGCCGGCAGGGGAATAAGGGAGGGTTCCTTTGCAGGACAGCTACTTCTGTAGGAGAGCATAGGCTGGGATGGGGACAGACCAGACTAGGCAGAGCTACCACACCTGTGCACCTCATGTGGACTAGATCAGGGAAAAGCCGGGCTGGGCGGATTATTCCTACTGGTGCAAACAAAATTAAAGTGGGCGAGGGTTGTTTGGGCTTAGCCACAGCATCAGCTGGAATCTGGGAGTGGGAGAGGCCTGGGAGGGAAATAGTGGGCTCATCCCTCTTGGGTTACCACTTCCACGGGAGGACATAAAACTAAGACAGCGACTGGGGTGGAATGGGGTGTGGGACAGACTGGATTACTGCTACACTTACTGGCAAACCAGGGTAGGGGGTGGGCCTGGCGGGGGTTATTGTGGGTCACTCCAACTAGGCTGCAGCTCCCACTGGTTTATGTGAGGGCCAAGTATGTGCGGGGCAGAACCAGGCTGGACTGCAACACCCATTGGTTCCAGTGGAAGTCGGGACTGAAAACAGAAGCAACCCAGCAATTGCAACCACCAGCTGATTGGGGCGAGGGATGGTGCCAGGCCCTGTACTTGTTAGCACATACAAGAAGTTTCTTTGGAGATCTTCCTAATCTAAATGCTGGACTAAGAACCCTAACGAAGAAAAGAGAGAAGACAGAACAGGTCAACCAACCATCTCAGCTATGATGGACTATGTCAATCAGTGGGTTTTTCACAGACCTCATAGTGCTTGGAGTGGCAAGATTGACAGCAATTCATAACTGTTGCAATATCAAAACCACTTGAGCAAGAACCTCAGAGCATGCCCTACATCCGGGACCTGGGGAGGGTGGGAAATTGGGTGGGCCTTCCCCCTTAATGTCCCCCTTTAAACATGAAGGTAACAATATGGAAAACATACTAGTATTATCCACTTTCCTATAGCTCTTGAACCTTCTTACCCTAATTAACTATGTAAAGAATGTCAAAATAAAAATTCATAATAAAAATTAAAAAAAAAGTGCCCACCAGTGCCCTGCAGGATGGCGCAGTGATTAAAGTCCTCGCCTTGCACGCCTGGGATCCCATATGGGCACCGGTTCTAATCCCTGCGGCCCCGCTTCCCATCCAGCTCCCTGCCTGTGGCCTGGGAAAGCAGTCAAGGATGGCCCAAAGCTTTGGGACCCTGCACCCACGTGGCAGACCTGGCAGAAGAGGCTCCTGGCTTCGGATTGGCTCAGCTCCAGCTGTTGCGGTCGCCTGGGGAGTGAATCATTGGATGGAAGATCTTCCTCTCTGTATATCCACCTTTCCAATAAAAATAAAATAAATCTTTAAAAAAAAAAAGTGACCACCGGCATGGTGGTCTAGTGGCTAAAGTTTTCACCTTGGCAAGTTGGGATCCCAGATGGATGCTGGTTTTAATCTTGGCTGCTCCACTTCCCATCCAGCTCCCTGCTTGTGGCCTGGGAAAGCAGTAAAGAATGGCCCAAAAGCCTTGGGACCCTGCACCCACATTGGAGACCTGGAAGAAGCTCCTGGCTCCTGATCAGCTCAGCTCTGGCCATTGTGGTCACTTGGTGAGTGAATCATTGGACAGAGGATCTTTCTTCTCTTCTGTATATCTAACTTTGCAATAAATAAATATTTTAAAAAGCAATTTTAAAGGATTTATTATTATTTGAGTTGGAAAGTCAGATTTACAGAGAGAAGGAGAGGCAGGGAGAAATATTTTCCATCTGTTGGTTCACTTTCCAAGTGGCCGCAACAGCTGGAGTTGAGCTGATCCAAAGTCAGGAGCCAGCTTTCTTCCAGCTCTCCCAAGTAAGTGCAGGGTCCCAAGGCTTTGGGCTGCCCTCTAATACTTTCCCAGAGCACAAACAGGGAGCTGGATGGGAAGTGGTACAGCCAGGACACGAACTTGTGCCCATTTGGGATCTGGTTCAGGCAAGACAAGGACTTTAGCTACTAGGCTAATGTGCTAGGCCCCAAAAATGATTTTTAATTGAGGGTGAGCAATAGCTCAACTGGCTAATTCTCTACCTCCAAGCATCAGCATTCCTTACAGGCGCCAGTTCTTGTGCCAGCTGCTTCATTTACCTTCCAGCTCCCTGCTGGTGGCCTGGGAAAGCAGTAGAGGATGGACCCAACTCTTGGGGAGTCTGTACCTGTGTGGGAGACCTGGAAAAAGCTCCTGGCCTCAAATTATCTCAGCTCTGGCCGGTGTGGCCACTTGGCGAGTGAACCAACGGATGGAAGATCTTTCTGTCTCTCCTGTCTGTGGACCTGCCTGCCATTCACGGGTGAAAGGACATACTTGGGTCACCCTCTGCTCTTTTCCCAGACACATAAGCAGGGAGCTGAATCAAAAGTAGAGTAGCTGGCTCTTGAACCCATGCTCATGGGACGCCACATGACAGGGAACCCTTAATCTGCTATGACACCACCCTGGGCCTCAAAAAACATTCTTGAAGTTTATCTGTGACAGAGGAAAGAAGTTTAATTCAAAAGATGAACAAAATATTTATAGACACCCTGAAGTGGTAAGACTCTGACATTTTATTAAGAAACATCTTTATTTTAAATGATAGTACAAAAACTGTAAATATAATATAGATCTGTAATATATATACACAAATGCGCATGCACACACAGACACACACAAACTTGGTCATCAGAATCAAATATTTTTAACCTAAAAAAAAAAACCCCACCATTTTTATCCTAAATAAAAAGGGAAGGATATTTGTTTTCTTACTAACACTGTACATAAAGCTGTCAGGTAATCTGAAAGTTTGAGGACACTGTGAAAATAAATCAGGTGCGCCCCCTCCCAGCAATGCGCATGCATCCACACACAGCCTTGGCCTAAGGAGAGCGCGTAGGTCAAGACCAGGGGAGAGAGCTGCTTTGTTGCCTACTAGGAAGTCCCAGATGCAAGGTGTGACCTTGATTAATTCTCCGAAACCAACTGAGTCAGAACAAACAGAAAATACGCAGCAGTGAGGGAGGGGAGTGGCAAGGAGAAGGACATGGCCCACAGATTAGAAATGACGGACAGGAGCCTAGTGGCCGGAAGTCTCCACACCACAGGGACGGCGGCTCACAGAGACAGATGCGGGTGTTTGCTGGCGTCAGGGGTGGAGGCGGGCCACAGACAGGCAATCAGAATTTCCTGTCATCAACAAGCCAAACTGCACCATAAAACCTAGGAATGTTATGCTGTTATGCTATTCCTTCATTCTAGAGATGCAAAAACAAACAAACAAAAAAATTAAATAAAAAGGGAAGAAAAAAAGAAAAAGGCAGCAACACAGTGTTTACGCTATTTAATTCCAACTAACACCATCAGTCCGGGTCTTATTACATCAATCAGTATAGGAAATGGGGTACTGACTGTGTGGCAGCACACGGTTCTCCCTCACTGCAGTGGGGCCGGGCAGGAGCTCAGAGCAGATGGGTGATGCCTGGGGCTCCAGTCTCACAGTCCTTTCTTGGTCTCAGTCATCCGGGGGTGGTCTGAGCAAGGAGCCCAGCACAGACAGTCCCTTAACACCTGTCGGCCTCCATCTCCCAGCCCTGCGGGTCTACACATTAGGGGTGGGCTACACGAGCTTCTCAAAATGATGGGTCTTCTGAACTGGGACAGCAGACACCCAGAACACCTGCTCCTTCTGCCACGATCCTGCTCGGGAGTTCTGTCTGAAGTGCAGGGGACGTCACAAAAAGCCTGCACAGGAGAGGAGTCCCTCACTCTGGACACAGTCCTGGCTCTGTGGCATCCATGGTGGCATCTCTGGTGTTGTTGCATGGCAAACCTCCTGGGAAATCAGGGATAGGCTCCCGGTGGTGGGGCCTAGCTCCGTGGGTTTCTCCTCACTTCCTGTTCTGAGAAGGGCCATAGTCACACGTGGGTTTTTCCCTTGTTGTTGTTATTGTTCCTTAGCCTATGCATTGAGAACAAGCTCTGTATATTTAATAAGATAAAAAATATTTCCAGGTTATAACAATACTTTAGAGTTAAACCTGACCCAGAGGAAAGCGTGAAAACCCCTGTGTATTTATAAGCATGCACACTGACATACACCCAACAAAGGGGTACAGAAATTGCCCCAATCACACAACACTTTATCTGCAGAGCCTTCTGATAAGTTCATTTCTTTTATACCAATATAAAGAAAAAAGTAATTTTCTGTGTAATAGATTTCTAACATTACTATTTAGACACAAAATGTTACTACTGCAGTGGCAAGGCTGAAGCAGAAAGCAAAGTAATAAACAAAACAAAACAAAAACCACAGCCAAATGCATCCTTGACAGACAAAAAGAATAAGGTACTGAGTTCAAAACACAGAAACCTAAAACCAAGTTCTCCCATATTTTACTTAAGAGATCTCAACTTTTAGTTTTTAAGAGACCTCAACTTTGACATGACATCTGAGAGATCCCAGAGAGATAGTGGTGGGAAGGGAGTGCTCCTTTTGTACATTTATACATTTATAACTAATTTCCCTGAAGCTAGGAACAAAGACAGAAGTATTAAAATTTCTTTTTTTTGGGTTGGGGGGAGGTAGGAAAGGCTTAAGACCAAAATGCAAAGGTAAAATTCCTGACAATACTGACATTGCTAAAGCAACTTTAAACTAGACAAAGCTCCAGGTATTCCCTGCTCAGAGACCAACTTGGAACCACTTGTCTGTCATTTAACTTCCATAATCCAACGTCACCATTAAACCACTTGGAATCCCCTAGCCTAGAAGAGCTAAGCAGTTCCCAACTTCCATGAATGATCCAGAATGATCTGTAAATTCATGAAACGGCATTGCCATGAACACATTTGATACTCAACTTCTAACCACTTCAAGGCAGCTGATGCCCTCCCCCTGGCAAACACAGCAGTGGATCAAATCCCATTTCCATTCGCTGGGATAATGGCCATCTTTTCCTACTGCTGTTTGTGACACTGCTGGACACATCTCTCTCCTGGTTTCAGCATCCCCATCATCCACAACGCCTGGCCCTCTATGAGATCCTGAGGCAGGGTGTGGTGTTTGTGTTTGGGGGTTGGCAGGGAAGCGTGTCAGGGAAGAACACTGAGCCATCCTCATTTCCCAAAAGGTGGGGGCTCTGGATATTGAGAAAGGAGTGTTGAGGGGACAACCCTGCCCTCCACCAACAGCTATCCCAGAGGATGAGGTGGTTGGGTCTTCTGCAATCAATCTTTAGTACCAAAGTCAACACATACACATCAAGACCATAACCAAGACTCCATCTTAAGCAGGGCTCTGACACACTCATAGCAGCCCTGCTAGCACCCTTGTCCAACGGGTTGCAGAGACAGAGTGAGCTGGCAGCAGACAGCACGACCCCATCTTCCCCCTCACCTGGATTCCTCTGCTGTGCCCACCTGTCGACCCCCAGCACAGAACAAGGCTGCTCAGCGGCTAAGTACTGAGTATCTTGTTCTGGGAGAAAATCTAGCGGAGGTGGCTAACAGCTGAGATGAATTTCAAAACTGGTATTCTCGCCTACCAAGCTCTAGTAGTCAACTCTGTGAATTTTTTTTTTTTAAGGAATTAGTTGTGTTTTCAGTCTATTCAGAACCTGCAATGATTCTGCACCTCTGGAACACTCCAGCAAATCACTCCGCTAACCAAGGTAAACGGAACCATGGTAACTGTCACTTCTTTCTTCCAAATTAAAAATGCATGTTTTCCTCATGATCACCAATTAAGAAAACCATATTCTAAACAGTCACTCAAATGTTTACTTAGCACAGTTCTCGGGGTTTCTTTCAACAAAGGAAGCAAGCAAGTTTAGATTGATGAGGAACCAATGTCAGAAGCGACAGCCTTTCCACAACCTCTCTCCAAACCATATCCCCTTTTCTCTGAGAAAACCTCCATGCTAAAACATAAGGAAAATGAAGCAATGAAATGTTTTCTAAACTCTGTGGACAAGGAGAGCAGGCAGACTGAGAGAGGGGGGAGGTGGGCACAGTGGCCGGGATCTGTGGTTCCCTACTTCACGGCACTGGTCAACATGCACAGGGCACAAACACCAGGCACGCAGCCCTGTGCTGGGCGCAAGAAAAAGATAGGCAGCAATCGCTCATCATGAATCAAATGGAAACAAAACTAGCCAATATCATTAGTGTCCACTCCACTTCAGCCCTCAGGTCCCCACTCCAGTCACCTTTCCACACTCAGAAAATGCTGCATTAAAAGGACAGTATTTCCCCAGAAAAGCACACACATGCCAGGAAGGACACTGTGAAAACCCGACAAAGACTTACAAAATGGAAGATGTTAAGCGTGATATTACGTAAATCAACGTCTGGAAGCAAGTTGTCCTAACAACAGATCACCCTTCTAATTCTGATTTTATAAAATACATTCAGAGCAAAATTTGTATGACTGTCCCACCAGCCTCGTTTTGGCCACTTTCCAGTGCTGGAAAAAGCCTGCAGGACCTGAATTTTATAGACACTTGTCCCACACAAACACGAGATCGTTCCTTGTAGTTTTTAAAAAACTTTTAGTGTCTTAAAATGGCACCTGAGACTTTGGACACATACTGATACACATTTTTTGGGCAATCACAAATTTCTTTTCAGTGAGACGAACTCAGAGTAATGAGGAACGCCTGCCCCTTGGCAGTGGCATGCATGCCTTTCCTCTTGCCCAAAGCTTCCTTGTCATCTTCTTCCCCAGGAATCTCTCCAACAGACACACGTCCTAAGTATAAGGCACATTTTCAGGTCACTGGACGATATGTGTGTATTTAGGAGTGTAAAATCTTTTGATAGAAAATCAGTTATTTAGAAACAAACAAAAAACTACCTATGGCATGCAGCAGGCTTTATGTCTACACTTAAGGCAGCAGGGTGCGCTGGGGTTTGGTCCTGATTCACTGAAGAAGTGTTCCCTAAATATGGCTTGGAATTCCAGTTGCATAGAGAGCCTTCCTGAGACCAAGAATTGAGCCCTATTGTAGCTTCTTCCTAAGGACATTCTTAATTTTTATATATTTGTCCTCTGTTTTTTCTTCTTAAAAATGGAGTAAAAAGATGAATGCAGTGCAAGTTGTATATCTGCATATTAAGATGAAACAGTCTCCAAGGACACTGCAGGCTGTGACTCCGTCGTCTTTCCCACTCTTGTCATGTGTGCTTCTCTTTCCACCTCGCCTTCGTTGACGACCACAGCATCCACCTCAGCCACCTCCTCGACCATGGGGGAATCGACTCCGTTGGGCTGCTGCCGGGCTATGGCCTCCAGCTGCAGCCGGTACTGCTCTGCCTCCTGCTCCTTCTGGAGGAGCTGCTGTCGGTACTCCTGGGCTCGCCGGTGGGCCTCCTGGAGCCGCTGTTGCAGGAGCTCCCTCTCACGGCCTTCCTAAAAAAGCACACCGCGTCATCACTGCGTGAGAATCCCACATCACAGGTCACCCAGAGAGCAGATGGAAAGCTGGGAAGGCCGAAGGCCTGAAGCAATTTGGCTCTGACACATTCCTCCTGCCTCTCTCTGACATGGGTAGAAACATTACCTTACTGTCCTCTACATTGTCTGTCAGCTCTTCGATCTTTGGTTTCTTTGTTAATGGCAGCTTGTCTATTTCTTCTTCCTCCTCCTCCTCTTCAATCACAGTCTCCCCTGCCACCTGACCAGCAGGCACAGTTAGAACTAAAAGAAAAAGGATGCCATCAGAGGTGATGTCTGCACCAGAAAACCAAGAGCTTTTTTTTTTTCTTTTTAAAATATTTATTTTATTTTTATTGCCAAGTCAGATATACAGTGAGAAGGAGAGAGAGAGAGGAAGATCCTCCATCCGAAGACTCACACCCCAAGTGAGCACAATGGCTGGTGCTGCACTTATCTGAAGCCAGGAGCCTCTTCCAGGTCTCCTACACGGGTGCAGGGTCCCAAGGCCTTGGGCTGTCCTCGACTGCTTTCCCAGGCCACAAGCAGGGAGCTGGATGCGAAGTGGAGCCACTGGGTTAGAACCGGCGTCCATCTGGGATCCCGGTGCATTCAAGGCAAGGACTTTAGTTGCTAGGCCATCACACTGGGCCTCTGTGTGTTTTTCAATAGAAAACAATATGTTCTCTGAGACATTAAAGTTGTTTGGATTTCAGGATTAAGTTATGTAAGGCATGGGCTCTGATGACAGAAACAGCAAGAGTAAACAAGGCTCAGAAGGGAAGGATACAGACTTACAGGCTTATGGGCCAAGCAGGGAAGTCCCAGTCCTGCAGCCTGAGAGCACTTTAAAAAGATGTGGATCAATGAACTCAAAGACATTTGTTCTGATACAAAAATTTTGTGGGGCCAGTGAAATAGCCTAGAGGCTAAATCCTCGCCTTGGATGTGCTAGCATCCCATGTGGGTGCTGGTTCAAGTCCTGGCTGCTCTACTTTCCATCCAGCTGCCTGTTGCCTGGGAAAGCAGTAGAAGACGGCTCAAAGCCTTGAGACCTCAAATTTCCGTGGGAGACCTGGAAGAAGCTCCTGGCTCCTGGCTTTGGATCAGCTCAGCTCTGGCTGTTGCAGACATTTGCGGAGTGAACCAGTGGATGGAAGATCTTTCTCTCAGTCTCTCCTTCTCTCTGTAAATCTGAGTTTCCAATAAAAATAAAGCTTAAAAAAAAGTAAGAGTTGGTATACATGGTAGGTGTGCAGCCTAGCAATTAAGATACACTGGAGCACCTGGTTCAACTCCTGGCTCTGCCCCGAGATTCTGTCCACACAGCAGTGAGGCAGCAGGCATGGTCCAAGTGGCTGTGCTCCTGTCATCATGTGGAAGCCCTGGGCTGGGTTCCTGGCTCCCAGCTTGGACCATGCCCAGCTCTGGCCACTGGGGGTATTTGGGGAGTGAACTAGTATATGAGACTTCTTTCTTTCTGTCTCCGAAATAAATTTTGAGAAGGGGTTGGGGGGATGGTAGATTTCTGGCACAATAATTGAAATGTTGCTTAGGATACCTGCAACTCATACTTGACTGCTTGGCTCTGAGTTCTGGCTCCATTCCTGACTCTAACTTCCTATTAATGCACACACCTAGGAGGCAACAAGCAATAGCTCAAGTAGTTGGGGGTGACTATCAGACATACGGAGGGCCTGGACTGAGTTTCTCATGTTTGGATTCATCCTGGCCCAGCCCCAGCAACTGCAAGCATTTGAGAGGTGAAGCAGTAAATGGGAAATTGCTCACTGTTTCTCAAATAAACAATCTGTAAGAAGCTGGTAAGCGGGCCCAGCGCGGTGGCGCAGTGGTTAAGGTCCTTGCCTTGCACGCCCGGGATCCCATATGGGCGCCGGTTCTAATCCCGACGGCCCCTCTTCCCATCCAGCTCCCCTGCTTGTGGCCTGGGAAAGCAGTCGAGGACAGCCCAAGGCTTTGGGACCCTGCACCCGTGTGGGAGACCCGGAAGAGGCTCCTGGCTTCGGATCGGCATAGCATCGGCCCGTTGCGCTCGGAAGATCTTCCTCTCTGTTTCTCCTCTCTGTATATCCACCTTTCCAATAAAAAAATAAATAAATAAAATAAATCTTAAAAAAAAAAAAGAAGTTGGTAAGGAAACTTGATAGAAAAAATAGTTTCAACTTTCACCAACTTTTTGAAACATTTAAGATTGGAAAAACCTCTATAAAGCTGGAGGACTGTATCAGTGTGTTTCCTGGTTGTGATACTGTCCTATAGGTGTCTAAGTGAAATCACTAAGGAACTGGGTACTGGTACAGCAAAAATCTATTTTATTTCTTAGAACTGTTCCTGATTTATAGTAACTCAAATAAAAAGATGCAACATTATTTATAAAGGATGTCGTTACTTTAATTTTTAATTAGTTTTCAACAGATTCAATGTTGTTTGCAATACAATTCTAAGAACATAATGATATTCCTTGCCTCCTTCCATCAGCCCTCCCTGTTTTACTGCTCTAAAACAGTACATTTACTTAGTTATTTGGTTTGGCTGATTTAAAAATTAGCTTACATCCCCTCCTATGCATCAACAGATGGCAACAGAAAGCTGCTTAATTAATATGTTGCTCATGAAAATGGGAGTTTAGTCTGGATTTAAACATCCCTGCAGGGGCAACCACGGTGGTGTGGTGGTGAAAGGTGCTGCCTGCAACGCTGCCATTCCCACCTGGGTCATGTGCTGCTTTGGCTCCAGCCACACAGGTGGAGACTCTAAGGAACCTCCCAGCTTCCAGCCACTCAGTGCTGCCTAATGCAGTCATTTGGGAAGTGAACCAGCAGATGGAATCTCTTTCAAATAAAGGTTTCCTCCCCGCCCCCAGTAAGGAAAACAAGATATATTACAGATGGAAACCTCCTGCTGCAGCATCAGGAGGGGAGTTTTCCTGTTGGCCTACATGTGAGCTGCGTTAGGGGGAGAGCCAGGCTGGGCCAAGTGACTGTATCCACTGGTACACATGCAGGAGCTAGAGTAAGTGCAGGCTGGTTGGGCCTTGCCGCAACACCAGCTGCCAAGTGCCAGGTATGGGGGCAAGTCCTGTCAGGCTGCACTGCAGTATACCACCTGGAAAGTCCAAGATCTGGGGCTGGGAGTGGGCCCTAGTAGAGAAACTGTGGGTACACCTCTGATGGGATGCAGCTTCCCACAGTGCACATGGGAACTAGCGCTGGGGGCAGGGCTGACTGAACAGGCAGTACCATCAACCAGCGTAAGTGTGGGCTGGCTAGTGGGGTTGGTGGCACTGACCTAGGCTCCAACACCCATTGATGTATATGACAGCCCAATGGGATGTAGCACACACTGGATCAGTCTGCTGCACACAATGGCATGCGCAGGAACCATGCTGGGCACGGGCCTGGTGGGGGTTATCGGGAGTCACACCAACTAGGCTGCAGTTCAGGCTGGTGTGTGTGTGAGGGCTGAATGTGTGATGGGCAGAGTTGGACTGGGCCATAGCATCCACTGGTTTGTGTAAGAGATGGGCTGGACACAAAACTCATCATGTAATTGCAACCACCAGTGTGTGTGTAGAATTATGTGGGTGACAGACTAAGCGGGACACTGTATTGCCTGGCACACATAGCAGTCAGCCCACACCGAAACTTCAGTAAACATATTTGTAAAAAGTAATATAGTTCAGTAATATAGCAGCTAAAGTCCTCGCCTTGCATGCCTGGGATTCCATATAGGGTCCGGTTCTAATCCAGGTGACCACGCTTCCCATCCAGTTCCCTGCCTGTGGCCTGGGATGGCAGTTGAGGACGGCTCAAAGCTTTGGGACCCTGCACCCATGTGGGGGACTCACAAGAGGCTTTGGGCTTCTGGTTCCTGGCTTTGGATCAGAGTGAATCATCAGACGAAAGATCTTCCTCTCTGTCTTGCCTTCTCTCTGTGTATCTGACTTTCCAATAAAAAAATACAACAAATCTTAAAAAAAAAAAAAGTAATGTAGTTCATTTAGGTAAAAATCTTCAATTCTGGGGCAAACATTGTACCACTGCATATTAAGCTGCTACCTGTAGCATGAACATCCCATAGAAGTGCCGGTTCAAGTCCCAGCTGCTCCACTGTCCACCCAACCCCTTGCTAACACACCTGAGAAAGCAGACAGCATGGCCCAGTGCTTGGCCCGCTGAACCCACGTGAGAGCTCTGGAAAAAGCTCCTGGCTCCCGGCTTCCTGTGGCTAACCAAGGAAACTCTCTCCTCCTATACTGCTACTTAAATAAACTACTTAAAAACAAAACCCTCAAATTTACTTTTTCTCCAAACAACTTAGCTCTAGTTAACTTCTCTCTATTGTAAGAAGTCTCTCACCAGCCTGCTGAGTCCTTACAAACCTTAGAACACTTAGAACACTAATCATGCTCCAAAACGTAAGTGGCTGGGAAATAAGTATTTATGACACCAGACGGTGTATCAAGGTTTCATTCCTTTACTTCCCATACTGCAGAGCTCCAGCAATTCAAATAATTTTTAATAAATGAAAACTAATCTTTTTAAATATTTATTCTTTTTATTGCAAAATCAGATATGCAGAGAAGAGGAGAGACAAAGAGGAAGATCTTCCGTCTGATGATTCACTCCCCAAGTGACCACAACGGCTGGTGCTGCGCCAGTCCGAAGCCAGGAGCCAGGAACTTCCTCCAGGTCTCCCATGCAGGTGCAGGGTCCCAAGACCTTGGGCCGTCCTTGACTGTTTTCCCAGGCTACAAGCAGGGAGCTGGATGGAAGTGGAGCTGCCAGGATTAGAACCGGCGCCCAAATGGGATCCCGGTGCATTCAAGGAAAGGACTTTAGCTGCTAGGCCACCATACTGGGCCCCAATAAAAACTAAATGAAAAAAAAACGAGGACTCAGGGATGATAGCTCAGTAGCTGAACTCCTCACCTTGCATGTGTCAAGATCCCAAATGGGTACCAGATTGTGTCCTGGCTACTCCACTTTCCTTTCCAGCTCCCTGCTTGTGGTCTGGGAAAGCAGTCTAGGATAGCCCAAAGCCTTGGGATCCTGCATTTGTGTGGGAGACCCAAAACAAGCTCCTGGCGTCAGACAGGCTCAGTTCCAACTGTTCTGGCTACTTGGGGAGTGAACCAGCAGACATTTTTTCTCTCTTCTTCTGTAAATCTGCCTTTCCAATAAAATTAAAATAAATCTATTCATTTATTTACTTTTATCATGTTATGACACAGTTTCATAGGCTCTGGGATTCCCCCAGGCCCTCACCAAACCCTTCCCCCATATTGAATTCCTCCATACTGTTATAGTAGTACAGTTTATAACCAGTCATGATTCTTTCATTGTGGGTATGGACCATGTGGAGAGTCCAACATCTTATTGTCCAGATAAATTCAACAGTTTCATTGGGAGACCATCCTTGGTCATTAAGTAGAGCTGGCAGGATATCATCCCCTCCAATGAGATGTCACTATACAACTTCAACAACAGGAAGAAACATGGAAATTAACAACATCATGAAGTAATTAACATGGTATTGAGTGACCAATATGTTAGAACATGCAAGCTCTTCTTTTTTTCTTTTTAATATTTATTTATTTTTATTGGAAACTCAGATATACAGAGAGGAGGAGGGACAGTGAGAAAGATCTTACGTCCGATGATTCACTCCCTAAGTGAGTGCAACAGCCGATCTGAAGCCAGGATCCAGGAACTTCTTCCAGGTCTCCCTTTACGGGTACAGGATCCCAAGGCTTTGTGCTGTCCTCGACTGCTTTCCCAGGCCACAGGCAGGGAGCTGAATAGGAAGTGGAGCTGCTGGGATTAGAACCGGTGCCCATATGGGATCCTGGCACGTTCAAGGCGAGGACTTTAGCCACTAGGCCATGCCCAGAAATGCAAGTTGTTAACTACATCCTGTAACTACTTCCTTGACATCTCAATTTTAGTATATACACAACCAGCTGCTATAAACCTCCCTTTTTTTTTCTCCCAAATAACATGTTTTTGAGTTTAACCTAGATCAGAGTGGCACAGGAACAGTGAAAGGATCAACATTAACATCCATCATATATATATATATATATATATACATAACAGCTGAGTACAAACTTAGCATCAAAGTTTCTATGCAGTTAAATCTTGCTTAGCATCAACAGTCATAAACTGATAAGGTTTTTTGGGGAGAATCTTAAACCACAATTTAAACTTTGCAGTATATAGTGATTAAGCAAGGTTTTACAGAACTTTGCATTTTAACAATTGAAAAATAGAAAAGTTTTAGGCAGGTGAGCAGGGAAATCCCCAACAACCTAGTGAGTGAGGAAGAATTTAACTCTACATCCTACCTAGTAAAGTCCAGGAGAAGCAAATGGAGTCAGAAAGAGAGAAGTCCCTGGTTCATTCCTGAAATGCCTATGAGGGTGGGAACCCCAGTGAAGTCAAAGTCAGGAGCTGGACAATCTACATCTCCCACACAGCTGGCAAACACCAACCGTATGACCCATTCCTGCATCCCTCCCAAATGTGCACCGTAAATACTGCAGGTAGGAACCAGTGCTGGACTTTGAATCAGGCACTGCACTATGGCCTAAGCATCCTAATTGGGAACCTAACGGCTAAACACTCGCTCTTTTTTTTTTTTTTTTTTAAAAGAAGATTTATTTATTTTTATTGGAAAGGCAGACATACAGAGAGGAGGCGAGACAGAGAGGAAGATCTTCTTTTTGCTGATTTACTCCCCAAGTGACCGCAACGGCTACAGCTGAGCTGATCTGAGCTAAGAGGCTGGAGCTTCTTCTGGGTCTCCCACATGGATGGCTGCAGGGTCCCAAGCCTATAGGCCATTCTTAATTGCTTTCCCAGGCCACAGAGGGGCAGATGTATGGGAACCAAGGCCACTGGGACAGTGCCATATGAGGTCATGGTGCGTACTAGGTGAAGTCTTTAGCCACTAGGCTACTGTGCTGCCCCCGCTTTTTGTAATAGGAAATTGTCTACACAGGGTAACTCACCTTGCTGTCCATCTTGCATTGTCACAATAAATGGCTGGCCAATGCTTCCAGTCGGGATTGCAGTTCGAATACTACCCAGAGGGACTCCGTCAGTCACTATGGCGATGACCCGCTGGCCACCGCTCTCCCCCATTGGCTGGATTGATGAGTCAACAGCATTTCTCTCCACAATCTCCTCTGAATTGGCTAGAAAGAACAAAATACATTTAAATTTCAGCATTTCGAAAAATGTGAATACAGCAATCTCAGCCTTCTTAAAACTGATGACAAGAGGGTGGAAAACTGAAAACCAATGTTGGATCCAACAGGTCACAAAAGCCTTCCTGAACAATGCTAAGTCAGAGTAGGAAAAAGTAGGGATTACATTAAAACAGTGTTTTCTTGGTCTGGCACTAAAGCTTAGCAGCTAAGGTCCTCTCCTAACACACGTTAGAATCCCAAATGGTCGCAGGTTCTAATCCTGGCAGTCCTGCTTCCCATCCAGCTCCCTGCTTGTGGCCTGGGAAAGCAGTCGAGGATTGCCCAAGGCCTTGGGACCCTGCATCTACCTGCATGGGAGACCTGGAGGAGGTTCCTGGCTTCTAGCTTTGGATTGGCACAGCTCCAGTCTGGGCATTCACTTGGGGAGTGAATCATCAGACGGAAGATCTTCCTCTCTGTCTCACCTCCTCTCTGTATATCTGACTTTGTAATGAAAATAAAATAAATCTTTTTAACGAAAGATTTATTTCATTTTTATTGGGAAGTCACATATACAGAGAGGAGGCGAGGCAGAGAGGAAGATCTTCATCTGCTGATTTACTCCCAAGTGAGCACAACGGCTGGTGCTGTGCCAATCTGAAGCCAGGAGCCAGGAACCTCCTCCAGGTCTCCCATGGGGGTTCTGGGTCCCAAGGCTTTGGGCCATCCTCGACTGCTTTCCCAGGCCACAAACAGGGAGCTGGATGGGAAGTGGGGCTGCCAGGATTAGAACCAGCGCCTATATGGGATTCCAGCGCGTTCAAGGCGAGGACTTTATTGGCTAGGCCATGGCGCCGGGCCCAATAAATCTTCTTCCTTCTTTTTTTAAAAACAACCAATATTTTCTAAAATATCTTCACTGACATGTTAATAGTTTTCAATAAACATGGGTTCTGTGCATAAACACATTTAAAAAATGCTAGCAATGCCAGCATATTACATGGGCTAACTTGTTGATTTGGTTGGAAGTATCAGAGACTTTAATTGTGATTCTCCAACAGGATGTAAGACAGCTGATTTTATCCAAGTGCCCCCACACTCACATGGCAATCCGAGAAGAAATTTCTGGCCCCTGGCTTCAAAACTGCCCAGCTCCAGCTGCTGTGGGTGGGCCATTTTTGGATTATATCAGCAGATGGAAGAACTGTCTGTCTTTTCTGTTAACTCTTCCTTTCAAACAAAACAAAATAAAATCTTCAACAAAACAGAACGAAACTATTAGACGGATAATTTCTACTAGAAATTGAGACATTTCAGGCCCAGTGCAAGGCTCAATGGCTCAATCTTCACTTTGCAAGCACTGGGATCCCATATGGGTGCTGGTTCATGTCCTGGCTGCTCCACTTCCTATTCAGCATCCTGCCAACAGACTTGGAAAGCAGTGTAGGATACCCCAAAGCCCTGGGACCCTAAGCCCATGAGGGAGACCCAAAAGAGGCTCCTGGCTCCTCACTTCAGATTGGCTCAGCTCTGGCCACTACAGCCATTTAGAGAGTGAACCAGTAGATGGAAGATCTTTCTCTCAGTATCTCCTTCTCTCTATAAATCTGATTGCCTTTCCAATAAAATAAATAAATTGTTTGAAAATGAGAGAAATTTCACAGTGAATTATCAAAATACCATGTCAATTTGTAAATTCATTGAAATCTGACAGATAAAACAGTGAGTGATTTTTCTCATCTGATAAATCAACAATAAAATGAATAAAAGTTAGCATGTATTGACTGCTTACTGTGTGCCAGGAACCTCTCAAAGAGCTTTAAATATGTTACACTGAATCAAGATTTTTCAGTTTGTTTAGTTTAACCAAGAGCTATTAGGGGAACAACTTCTGTCACTCTGGAATTTATCTAAAGAGTCAATGGTACATTCTGCAACCAAAGTGGGGCGGGGACGATCCCTGTGAGACATATTTAGGTAGTTCAACGAAAGTAAAGCTTTTACACTTAGAATCAAAGGGTAGTGGAATGTTAGAACTGAAAGGACCACGACACATAATCTAAGCCAACCACCCATGCCAGAGACGAATAAACTACCATCTGCAGAAATCAAGTGATTCATCTGAATTGAGTAGTGACCTGAAAGGACAGTAAAGGCAAGTTTAGCACACTGCCTTTCTCGCACCATGCTGCTCAGTTGTACACATCGGAGTAGCAATCTTTATCACTACTGCCAGTTGGAAAATCAGAATTGGAATTAGAGGAATGTTCCTACCACCCAAATGTCAATGGCAGAAAGAAATCAGAACAATCTGCTTTCGTTTAGGATAGAGCAGACTGTCAGGGGGTTCCAGAAAGATTTCTAGATGACTACTGAGTCCTACCTATAATTATCTGTCCCTCTCCTATGAAACCTCAAGCTTTTCCTTTGGATTGCTAGCCCTGGCTAAATGGACTGAAACCTTTTTGTCTTAAATATCAAAGGGTATTATACAGCATGTATCTGCACAACCCCGTGAAATGCCAAGATGATATCTCTAGTGAAAATAAAAGCAAGCCAAAAGGAAATCCACAAGCTATGTCCACGAGGAAGGCGGCAAACCCATGTATTTTCTGATACACTGGTACAAGATGTCTAGGTTTCTATTTTGCATCATTCAATGATAGCATCAGATAAAACATAACATATGGTATGTTCAAAAACATCTGCTAATATTAAGACTAAATATTTCAATCTGAAGAAACTGCAGTCAGGGCAAACAAGCTTCAAACCATAAAACTGCAAAGGAATAACTTAGTTATTCCGCAGGATTATGCAGCTGTCTGATAATATCACTTAACGATTTTTCCTTTTGATGTTCAATAACTCTATATTCCTTTTCCCTGCTGTTTTGAATTAATTGTAATTCTTTAATATTTTATGCAAATTAAATGTGCTGGAGATTTTGAAACAAAAGAAGACAGAGTGATTGACTCAGCAGGTAGCCCTTACCCACACATGTGGCTCTGTGTGACTTGGATGGGGCTGGGTTGGGGGAAATGCTTCAGTAAGAGCTACAAAGGGTGGTGAGTAGTGAGGTGGCAGAATTTGAGAACTATATTGCTGAGGCATGGGGGCCACCTATTTTAGTAAAAAATGCATATGAAGTCCAGCAGAGAAACTAAATTTAGGCAAACTAAAAATGGCATATTGAATTAAAAACTCAGGCCCAGCATGGTAGCCTAGTGGTTGAAGTCCTCATCTTGCACACACCAGGATCCCACTTTGGCGCCAGTTCCTGTCCTGGTGGCTCCACTTCTCATCCAGCTCCCTGCTTGTGGCCTGGGAAAGCCAATACAGGATGGTCCAAAGCCTTGGGACCCTGCACCCACGTGGGAGACCCAGAGGAGGCTCCTGGCTTCAGATCAGCTCAGCTCTGGCCATTGCAGCCATTTGGGGAGTGAATCAGCAGACAAAGATCTTCGTCTCTGTCTCTCTTCCTCTCTGTATAGCTGACTTTCCAATATAAATAGATAAATCTTAAAAAAAAAAAAACCCTCAAAAACCTTAAAAAGGATTAAATGAATATACTTGGTACAGAGCCACTACTTTTCCCACATTTGATCAACTCCCTTAGCACTGCCAACACAGAGCATAAGCAGTAAACAGAACCACAGTGTCACCCACTCTTGAGGCTGGCTGCGCTGAGCTCTCCATGGCAGGAGGCAGGGGGCTTCCAGAGCCCGTCCCAGCCCAGGCAGGCAGCGAGGAGGAACAGCCGCCCTGGGCTGCATTCATCAGTTACGTGACAGCCACAAGTGTGGCCTCTAGCAAGAGGACAGTCATCAAACCTAAGGTTTCATGTACTGAAGATCAAAGGGTAGAATCATGAGTTAATGCACAAACAGGGCTTTATCTCATCATGTGTCTGCAAAAAAAAAATGTTTGTAATATTTCTATCTATTCTCTAAATTCTGAGGAAATGTAGCAGATTTGGCAACAGGTATGCCTAACTTTATGAACCTAAAATATTATCAGTAGTTTTTAATAAATCTTTCATAAAATGAACTTCATTTCCTCATTATTTCAGCATAATTTCACATATAATTATGCTGAACATAAATTTTTCTTGCCTCTCCGCTCCAGATCTACCCTTCTTTGCCCTGCCCTGTAATGCTGGAGCTGGACATTATAAAAGACTTTTGCTTTAAGATTTATTTGAAAGACAGAGTTACAGAAACGGACGGAAAGATAGCTTTCATCTGTTGGCTCACTGCTGGTCCACAGTTGGACCAGTCTGAAGCCGGTAGCCAGAAGTTTCTTCCAGACTTTCCAAAAGAGCACAGGGGCCCAATCACCTGTCTTCTGCTGCTTTCCCAGGCACATCAGCAAAGAGCTGGACTAGAAGTGGAGCAGCCTGGATGGGAATCAGTACCAATAGGGGATGCTGACACTGCAAGAGGTAGTTGTGCCTGGCATACAATGGCGCTGGGCTCACTTCCCTCGTTAAAAAAAAAAAAAATCTAACCAGCTGGCATGAACTTAAGCTTTGTCAGTGAAGTAGAGCTGCTTCCTATGTTGGCTATTTCTATATTCTTCAAAATCTTCCTTCTCCCTTAGTAGTAAACCCACTGACCCCAATACATAATTCTCTGTAAATTATATAGACAAACCATAAATTACAAATTTAATAAGTTTGGATTTGCTTGCCCGCACATATACTGCCATCAGAGCCAGACCAAGATTACACGGGCTCTGCACTGGATGGCATGCAGGTTTGGGAAGCCTTTCAGATTTTCCTCATTCTATAAGCAACAGGCTTCCTGTCCCTTCTCCTGTTCTCTTCTCTTCTTCAAATCATAATTGCCTGTAATAGCTGTGAAAACTGAAATAGTTTATTTCCAAAAAAATTGGAAATCATATCTACATAATTTATACAAGTTACCATGTCCTTCTGGATAGATTCTGAGTGGTGTACATTTTCTTTTTTAAACAGGTTCTTTTTTTCCTAAATGTTTATTTATTTT